AGATAATTATATCATGTGAATATAATGACATCAATTTCCTCTTTTCCAAATTTTTTGCCTTAATTATATGTATCTTGTTTTATGGTACTAGCTAGGATCTTTGGTACCGTAAGTATAGAAACAGTAATAAATGGCTGTGTTAGTGTGTTCTCATGCTGCTAATAAAGACATACCTGAGACTGGGTAATTTATAAAGGAGAGAGAGGTTTAACTAGCTCACAGTTCCACATGGGCTGAAGAGGCCTCACAATCATGGTGGAAGGTGAAGTAGGAGCAAAGGCATGACTTAACATGGCAGGAGGCAAGAGAAGTGCTGAGCAAAATGGGGAAAAAACATCCCTTATAAAACCATCAGATCTCATGAGAACTCACTATCATGAGTTCAGCATGAGGGTAACTGCCCTCATGATTTAATTACTTCCCACAGGGTCCCTCCCATGACACGTGGGGATTATGGGAACTACAATTCAATATGATATTTGGCTGGGGACACAGCCAAACCATATCACTGGCTATTAATAAATTAAGAATACATGAGAACTTTCTTATTTTAATACAGTATATCCACTAAAAGTATCCAGAGTAAGCAGCATATTTTATGATTGATTAGAAACATTTAGTTTAAAATTAGAACCAAACATGGAGGCATATTGTCACTACTTTTATTCAATATTGTGCTGAAGGTTCTACAGGGAAACAAAGAAAATAAAAGTTAAAAGATTGAAATGGAAGCAAAACTGGTTATCATTTTAGATGCTATATTGATATGACTATCTACCAAAAACCTTAAGGATCTGCAGATAACTTATGGATACTAGAGTTAGGAAATATTGTTACATAATAAAAAGTCAACTTATAAGGCATGCCAATACACCAGTAACAAACAAAATATGGTTTTAAAAGATACATTATCATAATTAGAAAACAGTTAATGTATCTGTCAAAAATCTCTAACAAGAATTATATCTTTTTGAAGAAAGCAATAAATTCTTAGTCAGAAAAATTAAACAAGGCCTAAGTCAACTAAGAAATTGATGTTAACAGATGTTATTAAGAGAACTTGTTATCTAAAACATGTCCGTTTTCCCCTAGTTGATTGATAGGATCATATAATACCAATCAAAATCTCACAGGTGTATTTTTTGAACTTTACTATATGATTTTTAGTTTTGTACATAAGTGTCAAAGGCCAATGATAGCCGTAACACAAAGTGAGTTAACAGGCTGTACCAGACATTTATATTTAAACATAACACTTAGTATATGTATCTGCCTCAGGGATAGACCACCTAAAGAAACAGACATGGTAAAGTAACATGGTGCATTAAAATCACCAGATAAATGATGGATTATTCAATAAATAGTGCTAAGACAAATGGTTAAGTCTATGAAAAGAAAATAAATTGAGTCACGATGTTACATCACAAAATATTATTTGACAATGGATTTGTGGCTTAACATGAAGGGCAAAACTTTAAAACAGTTAAAAGGAAGATTAGGATAAATTATTTTTGAGTCTCAAATAAAGAAGGAGTTTTACACAATAAAATTAAAAAATTGTATAACACAAATAGGAACATTAATCTAACAGACTTTATGAAATGTAAAAATTTATATTCATCAAAAGATAATTTTTTTAAAGTACAAATATGGAAGAGTAGCTTTAAATGTGTAACAACAAAGGATTAATATCCAGAGTATCTCAGTGTTCCTACAAATCAATAAAAAAAGTAACAGCTTAATAAAAAACTATCAAAGACATAAATAAGCAATGGGTAGCTCACAAATATAGAAAATATATTCAGTCTTATTAGTAAAGCAATGGAATATTAATAAAAATACTTGAATTACTATGTTCCCATTCATATTTTTAAGATATTAAAAAGTCTGATGAAACTAAATGTTGAAACGGATATGGAGCAACATTAAGTCTTTGGCAGGTAGGATTACATATTTGTGCAATCACTTTGGGAAACATTGTAATGTTATGCAGAAATATTAAAGACAATAGGTTTTTACAATCTGGGATCTTTTATCATAGGGATAGAATTTCTTCCATGTTTTCCAGTGTGTGTGTATTCATAGAGATATTTGTAATATCAAAAACCTAGAAATTACATGAATTATGAAATTGTGACATATTTATTCAATGGATTGCTATAGATGAGTCAAAATGAATGAACTGTAGCTTCAAACAACATAAATCATTCTTAACATAGTGCTAAGTAAAAGAAGACATTCACAAAATACATGAAAGAAACATTTACTCACATAATTGTAAAACATGCAAAATAAAGCAATTTTATTTAGTGATGCATGCATAGTAATGAAACTAGAATGAAAAGCAAGGAAATAATAACAAAATTCAGAATAGTAGTTAACCCTGAGTGCAAGAAAAAAGTAGTTCCAAGATAGAACTGGCTTTAGTGACAGCTGATAAAACTGGATTTCAGGGTTCAAAGTACATGTTTGATTCGTGATTTTCCCCCATATGTCTGCTTTCCTCTGTCTTGGCTTCAATCTCAGACAGGCTCTTCATTTGTGGGGAACCACCCGCATTTCCAGACTTATCAACCTCAGAAAAATAAGAACATCTGTTTTTTTTCAGTTAACTTAAGTGAAATTCCAGACACCACTCCCCTCATTCCACATTGGGTCTTAGGTTCACCCTCCAGTGATGTTGGGAATGTGTAATCACTACTAGATCTAGACCATGTGTCAGATGCTTAAGCTGAATTGTAGGGTAAATCTCATCAGTCCATACAGCAGGATGAAGGATTCAGGTCTTCCAAAGGAAAGTTAAGGCTTTGTTATCAAAAGAATGAGATACTGATGCTGAGATGCCCAAACCATAGTACGTTCTTCAGTCTCAAAGCAAACAATAACTATCTTTGAACCAAGGGTCAAGCAACCCTTAAATAGTGATTGATAATATGGAGAGTCTCTAAGATGACTAGTTGAGTTCTGACCAGAAATTAGCAGGTGGGAGGAAAGACCACTACCTATATTTAACAAGACACCATGCCACTGTGCAATACCCTCTGGAAAGTCTGACTCAATTGGAACAAGTTATGGGTAAAATTTATACCAACTTATTACTGAGGAAGCTGAGACTTCGTTAAAGATCCAAGAACCATCCTCCCCCCCAAATTCTTACCATTTATGTGGTTTTTACTGTAAGAAAGGAAACCAAATTGGATGCTCTCAGGTAACAGAACTAAATTATGGGGTCAGATTTGAATTAAAAATTCATATTTGGAGAACTGGAGCTGATAGAGCCTCTACAAGTGGAATTCCTGTTAAGCACAGGCCCAAGGAGTGTACACCGCTAATAAGAAGGGCTCTGGGTGGAGACTTTCAGAATGGGGGACTGGGGCTCAGCCAGACAGCTGGGACCACTTAGACACCACTTCTAGCTTTCCTCGTCTCTCTTATCCACATAGAACAGGGATAGAAAAGAAAAAAAAAAAAAAAACATTAAGCATAATGTTTTAACTTTAAACTTAATGCCCAGAGATTTGTTCAGTGAAAATACCACATACTGGTTTGTTTTGGTCATGCTGGGGTGTGTGTGTGTGTGTGTGTGTGTGTGTGTGTGTGTATTTATCCCTGGGACTGCCTAACTCTGGAAATCTACAGGTAAAAAATATCCTGTTTTAGATATATATATATATATATATACACACACACACACACACATACACTCTATATATATCTCTATAAAAAAAAATAAATTATATATAAATATATTTGATAGTAATATCTTAGGGTAGTCTATTATATATTTGTTATTTTAATATATGAATATATTATTAAATATTAGTTATAGTAATACATATTAATACATATTATGTGATAATATAACTAATAATATATTAATATATTAGATATTAATATGTATGTATTATATATTATATATTAAAGATATATATTTTATTTTAAGATATAACTAACAAATTAATATATAAATATATATAAGGTTTATATACTAGTATATAATGAATATATTAAAATGTATTGTGATATTTTTTACCTGTAGATTTGCAGAGTTAGGCAGTCCTAGGGAAAATTTTATAGCTCAACACTGTTAAGGTATTGATTGCCTTCTTCTAATATTTTCTTGGCTTTACATCTTGAGGTAGCAAACAGTTGTCCTGGCTTAAAGTATCACATCCTCGTAGCACAAAATCTGAAAGGAAAGGAAGTGAGTTGAGGGCTCTTAATAGGGTAGATTCATCTATTATAAACTTATGTTAGTGGTACCAAGACACTTTCAGTGTAGTTATGAGACATCTTAACCCTCAACTGACACCTCAACTGTTTAAATGTTTTTAAACAAGGAATTATACTACAACTGTGTATTTCCACACATGGATTTGGAGTACAAAATGGGGCAAAGTTCACTTGTTCTGCATTATAGTTGGCAGAGGATGGAGGTCAAAGTTCCTTGGGTGGCAGGAAATCATACAGAAATAGTAATCAGCGAGGCTGGGCATTCTGTGGTGTATTAGTTCATTTTCTGTTGCGTATGATGTATTACCTAATACTGGATAATTTATAAAGGAAAGGAATTTGTTTCTTATAGTTATGAAAGCTGAGAAGCCTCAGGTTGAGTGAGTGCATCTGGCTGAGGGTCTTCTTGCTGGTGGGGACACTCTGCAGAGCCCCAAGGATGCTGAAGGCATCATATGATGAGCTGGCTAGTTCAGGTCTCTGTTTTCTTTTTCTTTCTTTTTCTTTTTTCTTTTTTTTTTTTTTTGAGATGGAGTTTCGCTCTTGTTACCCAGGCTGGAGTCCAATGGCGCGATCTCGGCTCACCGCACCCCCCACCTCCTGGGTTCAAGCAATTCTCCTGCCTCAGTCTCCCGAGTAGCTGGGACTACAGGCGCCCGCCACCATGCCCAGCTAATTTTTGTATTTTTAGTAGATACAGGGTTTCATCTTGTTGACCAGGATGATCTCGATCTCTTGACCTCACGATCCACCCGCCTCGACCTCCCAAAGTGCCGGGATTATAGGCGTGAGCCACCGCGCCCGGCCCAGGTTTCTCTTTTCTTATAAGGCCACTAGTTCCATTCCCATGATAACCCATGAATCCGTTAATCTATGAATGGATTAATTCATTCTTGGGGGCAAACACTTATGACTCAATCACCTTTAAAATGGCCCATGTCTCAATACTGCTACATTGGGGATTAAACTTCAACATGAAATTTGGAGGGAACAAAAATTCAAACCATAGCATGTAGGACAGCAAAAACATATAATTGACTGAAAAGGAGCCTCGTACAATAGGGGTGTCTACTATGGATTCTTTATTTTATTTACATAAGTGATGCCTACATATATTACTATGAAACATTTTAAAAATAGAGAAATACAGACTAAAAACTGAAAGCGTACATTCACATCTCTCTCTTGTTTAATTATTCAACACAAAATTCATCATTGTTGAGAGCTTAGCATGTGCACTTGTTGGCCTTTCCTACGAATTTGTATTAGAAGTAAACGAATTATAATACAAAATGTGAGCATGCCATTTGTATATTCCTGCAATATGCTTGGTTTTAGCTTAACAATATGAGTGAGATATCTTCTCCTATGTGTCATACAAATTTGCCTTATTCTCTAGTTGCTTCTTAGTACATCATATTAGAAATATTCCAATATGTGTAAGACATACTGTTTATCTCTTTTTATTGTACGTAAAAATATAAAAAGCCACTTTGCGCACATATAACCTTGTGCTCCTCTGTTTTTCTGTGGAGTAGACATTCAGAAGTGAATTACTAATTGAGGTGTATGCTCCTTTAATATTTTAAGAATTTGCCCTTTTACTTTCTAGAACATTATTATTAATGCATTTTTCTACTAACAGTGCATGACAGGACTTGTTTTTCCTCTTTTTGTCAAAACTAGGTATCTTTTAAATAGTTTACAGTATATTTGATTAAAAACTATATGTAGGGGTTGAGAGGCAAGGGGAGGGAGAACATTAGTACAAATACCTAATGCGTGTGGAGCTTAAAAGCTAGCTGATGGGTTGATAGGGGCAGCAAACCACCATGGCATGTGTATACCTATGAAACAAACCTGAACATTCTGCACATGTATCCCAGAACTTAAGGTAAAAATTTTAAAAAAGAAAAAAACCATTATATGTAATTTTTATGTAATATGTGTTTTCCCGACTATTAGTGATATTGGGCATCTTTTAATATCTCATTTGTTTTTGAATTGCTCTTTATCTCCTTTACTTATTCTTCAATTACATTAAACTTTTCTTATTAATATTTAGGATTATTTAAATATTCTAGATAATACATCTTTCTATAGTCTACTCATCATTTTTTCTCCAGACTGTCCTTTGCTCTTTGACTTTATAGTGTTTTGGACAACATTTTAAATTCGTATGTAGGCATTTTTCAAATCATTAAATTTATAGTGATTGGGCTTTGCATCTAGCTTAGTAAGTCTTCTGAATAAAAAAAAAATGGCTTAATTTTATAAATGGGTAGATACTGTTATTATCTCCATTTTATACATATCCAAATTTAGGCTAAGTGAGATTAAATAATTTTTCCAAGGTGACACAGCCAATTAGTGTCAAGATGAAATCTGAACACAAGCACTCTGGCTCCAGAATACATGCTCTTAACTGTATTCTAATTCTTTAATATTCTAAATTCCAGTATTAATATGAGTCTTTTTTGTACTATCTAATCTCTTCATTACTCTATTCTTATGGTAATATATGCTGTTTTAATTGCCATGAATTTATACACCATGTTGACATCCGGTAGGGCGTATTTCCTCTTATTTATTTAGATCTTTTCTTGTCTATTTATTTTCATTTTATCTTTCAAATGAACTTTAAAGTTGGTTTGTCAAGTTTCATGAAAATCCCGCTGTGATTATCTGACTTTATACATTTATTTAGGAAAATTAATGTCCTTAAAATATTAGAGTATTTTTGCATAGGAACATAATCTATACGTTGATTTTGATTTTTAAAAAATAGTCCTTAATAATGTTTCCACTTTTCTGTTACAGTGTTGCATTTTTCTTAAAGTTTTATGTCCAGGTATTCCAGAATATTTGTTTCAATTATAAACAACATATTTTCCAATTATTTATTGCTATGTATAAAAACTAAAACTAGTTGATTTTTGTCTCTATCACATACTGAATGCTTTTATAAATTCTAATTCTCATTGTTATTTCATATGTTAAATTTCTTTCTTTCTTTTTTTTTTTTTTTTTTTTTTTTTGAGACAGAGTTTCGCTCTTGTTACCCAGGCTGGAGTGTAATGGCGTGATCTCGGCTCACCGCAACCTCCGCCTCCTGGGTTCAGGCAATTCTCCTGCCTCAGCCTCCTGAGTAGCTGGGATTACAGGCACGTGCCACCATACCCAGCTAATTTTTTGTATTTTTAGTAGAGATAGGGTTTCACCATGTTGACCAGGATGGTCTCGATCTCTTGACCTCATGATCCACCCACCTCGGCCTCCCAAAGTGCTGGGATTACAGGCTTGAGCCACCGCGCCCGGCTAAATTTCTTTTACAAATATAGAATTAAAAGCCTTTTATACTTCCTTTAGATATGAAGTATATAAAATAGTTACAGAAATGAATAACCAAAGGAAGAAGGCAAAGAGAAGAACTATAATGTTCACTGAATCTACCCATCAAAGTAACTACGTTTTATGTATTTTGAGCTGTTTCATCTGCCTTTGAAACAATTTCCTTCACTTCAGTGGTTTTTCTCTTCACTATCTTTTCTTGACTTTCTCTTTTCCTTTTGCATGAAAATTACAGTAAAAATGATATCTCAATTTACATTATAATGATCATCTCAAATATTGCTTAAGAAACTCAGGTGTGGCTGATACATTGAAAACATTAGCATTGTGCAATGATTTCTTTCATCATGTTTTGTCAATCTTGGCATCTTTGAAAACAAAAACTTCATACTATAAATGTCACTGATGGCCTGGGACAATCTAAAGGATATTTTATTTGAAATGCACACACACAATTCCTAAAGTGTGAGAGACAAAATCAGCGAAGCAACAAACTGCCATTTTAGATAAATGTCTGGCGTTTTAGATAAATGCCCCATTTTGGCCAAAAGCATCTCACCAGAAGACAGAACTTAGCATATTAGCAGGTTTTACTGGTAAACAAAAATATTCTACTTTTGTAGAATGCTTCACAATTGATAGTGCTCCCATACATGGTTAATATTGTTTTTAAAATTTTCATCACTATCTAGTGCTGTGTGACATAGGCAGGATTTAGTAATTCTGTGTTATGGATGAGACAGCAAATCTACTAGTCTGAGTTAACCAGGCATGGAGATGAATGAGCCACAAAGTTGGAACAAAATGTAGATCTGACTGCACCTCAAGTGTAGTTTTCACCCCTCTGAAGAGGCTTAGAAAAATCAGTCTTCAGTGGGAGATTAAATTAGAAATATTTTAGAAGAAATTAAGATAACATGCAGTTCCTGATAAAAGGAATCTTTATATCATACGTCTCACAATTGATTGAAATTGTACACAATATATGGAAATAGTACCATTTCCTGGCTTAAAGTCTGACAACTAAATTAGGGAACAAGTGCTTGACAAGTTCTCTTGAACATTGAGTGGATTCCTAGCTTGGGCTGCAAAAGATATATATGCCAAAAGAAGAAAGTTTTCTGGGTTTTGGAAAGACTCCCTACCCCCTCCCCCTTTTCCAAAAGCAATTTTAAGTAACGTGAAACATTTTATAATATTCAAGTATATTTTATAATTTTTTCACAATATTTAGCATCTATAAAGCTCAAAGGGAGGTAAATAAGATGAAGCTCTTCCTATCAAATTGATATTCTAGAGCATAACTGATATATACTGCTAAGCAAACATATAAGTGAAAATCAGATTAGTGCTGATTGTATGTAAGTATAGAGGAAACTTACTAGAGGGGCATTTAGTTAGAGAAAGCATCATGAAACATTAAAATGCAAGCTGGTATTGCAGAAACTGCAGGTTTGACCTATTTATTTAATTCCCCTGGCTGACAATGATCTCTTCCCACTTTAGTTCTGGTGTTTCATTTTTTCACTTAATGCATTTTGAAAAACTCTTACATTTCAATTAGGAAACATGGATATCTCTTATTGAACTTTCAGCATATGTCACCAATTTTTTAAGATTAGTCATTTCTTGTTCATAGTTATATCCCTACTGTATGTCTGTGGTTATTCACTAGTTTTTGCTCATAAAAGGTCATTTATCCAGGTAATTTTGCATATTTGAATTATAGTTTTATATTGTTACAGGTAAACATTATTTTTCTTACGTAGATTCTTAGATACTTGCGGAGTCACATCATATATTCTGATGTTCTTTCAGTTTCTAATGCAGGGCTTTGCAAATTATGAATGGCTCAGAAATGTTCTCGATTGCATGAGAGTGCTGTGGATAGGCAGATGAATTTAAGCAAAGGAAATGAGAGATGTAGCGTAAGTCCAGGAAGAAATTCAAACTGAAACACATAGAATCTTTTTATTAAGGAGTAGTTGGATATCTTCTGTAGTTCTCCAGTGTCAGCTAGTGAAAACTCCATCTTTCTAGTTATTCAATTTAAAATCTTTGGCTCCTCTCTTTCTTTTCATATCCTACTTCAGTTATTCAGGAAATCTTGTCAGCCCTATATGCAAAATAATTCTCTAATAGAAGAGACGCTTTTTGCACCATTTTCACTGTTACCACCATACCCCAAGGGAAAATCTTATGGTGCCTGTAAGAATCACCCCACTTCTAACTTTGCTCTCTTTCTCATATAAGTAAAGCCCACATGATGACCAGAGTCATCTTTTCAAAACTAGTCAGATCATGTTGCTCCTAACTCAACTCGTACAATGGCTTGGCATCTCTCCCATAGCAAACTTTAGGTATATATATTGCTTGTGAAGTCGTGTATGTTGGTATATATATTGCTCATGAAACCCTACAAATTCTGGCTCTTGCAGTCTCTCTGACCTTCTCTGATCTTCCCCTTTCACACTGACCTCCTTACTGTTCCTCAAATACTAGATGCACACTCATGACTCATGATTTTTAAAGCATCATTTCCCATTTGATAAGAATTCTCTTTCCCCAAATAGTTGCTTGTTCCATCTTCACACTTGCTTATGGCTTTTTTTCATATGTCACTTTCTCTGACTGTCAGGATATAATCTTAATTCTTTACATAATTTCCACCCATTCAATAATCTCTACCCCTCTTACATTGCTTTAATTTTTTCCTCATAGCAGTAATCTCCATCTGACATATTGTTACTTGTCTGCTTCCCTGCCTTACAGTGGGAGCTGCATGATGGTGGAGCTCTGTTTTTCTTCACTGCTGTATCCCTAAGACTCAGGATAGAGGATCTTAGTAAGCAATAAAAAACGTTTTTAGTTATTTGAATAAATGAATGCATGCATGAGTAAAACATAAATGCATAAATAAACAAAAAACATTGATGGAGATTTCAAATGCCAAACGGAGTTTTGTTTTGGCATGAAAATCACCAAGAACCCACTGCAGATACCTGAGGGAGGGAATAGAGATTATCTTCAGTCAAAAAATTGGATAAATCTGAGGAAGACAAGGAAGAGTAAAGAAAGGACTGCTTTAATCCAATCTGAGATCAGGTTTAAAGAAATAGTTATGGCAATGAATAAAATGTTATGATTTTCACATGGGAGAAAATGTGAGTTGGCCGGATTAACTATAGTGGGTGGATGAAAGTGGTGTTTCATATACATTCCCAATACTGAGATCAAGAACTGGAAAATGTGGGGCCACTCACAACAAGGAGAACTTGGGAAGTTCCATTTGTTTGGGGAAAATGACACTGTTGTGAATGAGAGTGAGGTGGGCAGCTGTGGCTTATTGATAACTTTTTCTTTAGTCATTTCAAACCCACAGTACTGTTTACTGCAATGACTTAGTAAAGGGTAAATGGACCCACTGTTAAAAGACTTTCCCTTTTAAACCACGTTCTTATTTTTTATGCTTTAAATTGCCCCTCCACATATCAGGCAGCTGCCATTTGATCTGTATACTAGCCAGCAGAGAAGTGGCTCTGTACAGATCCAAATTAGCTTAGAGTATGTTCCTGCTGGGTCAAAAGGGGTCGCAAAACTAATAAATGAATCCCGAGGTTCTCTGTGGCTCTACCTCATTAGCTGTGTCCCCATTTTAGGATTCTGCTTTCATAAGCAGCACATTGCCATAATGGACTCCAAAATCTGACATTTTTCCAGAGAGAGAGAGTAAGAAAAGACAGATAGAAAGATTGGGAAAGAGAAAGAGGGAGAGAGAGGAAGGGAGAGAGAAGACAGACAGAGAGAGAAAGAGAGAAAGAGAGAGAAATAGAGAAGGAAAAAGAAGACAGAGAGATTGAGAGAGAGGTAGGAAGATCTCTATATTGGCTTATTGCTTTGAGGTCTTGCACTGGATTAGAACCCCTGGTAACTTCTGCTGTGTACTTTAGGGTTTCTGAAAGTTTAGATACCTGGGAAATACATGTTAGCACCATCTATTTATTTTATTTTATTTTTTAAACATTTTAAATTAATATATTATTATTATTATTATTATTAGAGACAGAATCCCATGCCACTGCACTCCAGAGGTGTTTCCCAGGTTGGAGTGCAGTGCCACGATCTCGGCTCACTGTCATTTCTGCCTCCCAGGTTCAAGTGATTATCGTGCCTCAGCCTCCTAAGTAGCTGGGACCACAGGCACATGCCACCATGCTGAGTTAATTTTTGTATTTTAGTAGAGATAGGGTTTTACCATGTTGGCCAGGCTAGTCTTGAACTCCTGGCCTCAAGTGATCCATCTGCCTCAGCCTTCTGAATTGCTGGGATTACAGGAGTGAGCCACTGTACCCAGCTAACAACATCAGTACAATAATAAAATCAGGACCTCTATAAGTTAATAGAATAAAGTTATACCACTCACCTACCCTCCAAAACTATTAAAATCCCCACTAGTAAAATGTCTGGGAGGATTGAAGTATCTAGATTTTTTGGATTTAAGCTATTAAAAGACCATACCCATTTGCAAAGTGCCTGAATTTTCTGGGCAGGTGTATCTCTTTTTTTCCACGCCTCCGTTTCCCCCCACCCCCACCACCGAGATGAAGTTTGCCTCTTGTTGCCCAGGCTGGAGTGCAATGGTGCGATCTCAGCTCACGACAACCTCCGCCTCCCAGGTTCAAGTGATTATCCTGAGTAGCTGGGATTACAGGCATGTGCCACCACACCCGGCTAATTTTATATTTTTAGTAAAGACGGGGTTTTTCCATGTTGGTCAGGCTGGTCTCGAACTCCTGACCTCAGATGATCCACCTGCTTTGGCCTCCCAAAGTGCTGGGATTATAGGCATGAGCCACCTTGCCCAGCCTTTTTTTTGGTGCAATCTCAGCTCACTGAAACCTCCACCTCCCAGGTTCAAGCGATACTCCTGCCTCAGTCTCCTGAATAGCTGGGATTACAGGCACTTGCCACCATGCTTGGCTAATTTTTGTATTTTAGTAGAGACAGGGTTTCACATGTTGGCCAGGCTGGTCTCAAACTCCTGACCTCAGGCGGTCCGCCTGTCTTGGCCTCCCAAAATGTTGGGATTACAGGCATGAACCACCATGCCCAACGGGGGTATCTCTTTAAGATTATCATGCCTGAAATCCCAGGCGGATTAGCCAGGTGGACGCTTGTAATCCCAGCTACTCAGGAGGCTGAGGCAGCAGAATTGCTTTAGCGCAGGAGGCAGAGGCTGCAGTGAACTCAGATCCTGGCACTGCGCTCCAGCCTGGGTGACAGAGCAAGACTCTGTCTCAAAAAAAGAAAAAAAATGATTCTAATTAGTTCTAATGAGCCAAAGCTTTAAACTTCTCCTTATTTTGCCTTCTCCCTTCTTTGCGTTTTCCCTCTTTTGGTGTTAAATGTATAGCTGGGAGTTAAACTTGAAACAGACAATGTGGGTAAGCACTTAAACAGCTCCGCTATTCCTCCATGGACAGAATGAGTGAGCAACTTCCATCAGCCCTTAGTTTACCTAAGTGAATAAAACTGCTCCCATGCTGGCATTTGATACAGGAATGGGAAATTAAACTAATTTTTAAGAGGTGGAGTAGTATCTCTTTCTCATCTGGGAAAAAATCGGTAAGAATCGCATTGGTAAAAGTAACAAATCCAAGTCAAAGTAGCTCGGGCAAAAGTGAATATTTACTGGAGAAATGCCTTATTATCAAGTTTGATTAAAGCAGTACATGAATGAATAATTAGCTCCTAGAAGGGCACGACATCATGGCTTCCAGGAATAGCTGGAACCAGGGACATCAACAGGGTCAGGACTCTCTCCCACTGAACCCGCATTCTCTATCTCGGTCTACTGTCTGTGCTCTCTCTGTTTTTCAGTTTCTTTCTTTCTTTCTTTTTTTTTTTTCTTACTCAAGGGCAGCTTCCTGCCCTGCTTCCTCCAGCACCTGCATTTTACCTCTTGCTGCTCCCACTACCATGGATGTACTAGCTACTTCTAAGTCCAGTTTGAAAAACCCTGGAGAAAGATTCGGAGTCACTTTTTAGGTTATAGGCTTACCTTTGGTATATTCAGGCAACATCAAGAGGCTACATGGGGGATTGTGCACTATACTTCATAGATGAGGAAACTGAGGCACAGAGAAGATAAATGACTTGTCCAAGATCATTCAGTTACTATAATATTATTTGATCAGTGTCTAGAGAGGCTATTAAATATTAGTTATTGTTAAACCTGTAATCATTAAAAAGCCATTTGGAAAGAGCTTGAAGTAGAGAACAGCAAAATCAGGGGTAATATACCATATTCAATAAGTTATATACTACCATCTAGTGATAGTCTAGAGAACTGCAGTGTTATACATTAAATATGTATTTAATATTTGAAGTTTTGTTTTTCTTGATGTAATCTATAAAAATATATCATAAATTGGCAATAAATGTATAACCACATATTTACATATTTTATGGTCCCAATAAGAGAACAGCGGCCACTTAAAGCGTCATTTCAATTAGTGTTTTCGGAACTTACCTTTTTAATGTTGATGTCACAATAACTTTGTAATTTAGAAAATTTGGGATAAATTCTCTTGCATAAAATATTCATTTGCTCTCATATTATGGTATGAAATAGACCAGATGTCAAGGTTCGCAACAGATAGTCTGGTATGTGAGTCTTTCTCCTAGGAGACAAATAGGTGCTCCTGAGAATGAAGCAAAACATAGTTAACTAAGTGGTCTCGTTCGCCTAGCATCTGGCAGGTATGCTTGCTTATTCCAGGGCCAGCCCCGAGAGCTGTGCTGCCACTTTGGTACTAGGATTTTTAAAAAGGGATTCACAGTGCTCTAAGCTGGCAGTCAGCCTGGTTCTGAATCCACTTCATTCTGTACCCACCAAATGTTTTAATACAAGGTAGCCATGTTCCCCTTTCTCCTTTTATAGATGTGTGACTTACGACAGCAGGATTCCAGCATTTACCAAGTCTACATAGCACAGCATAATCTTAATTGGAGGGATACCTGACTTATATATTGAAAAAATATACCTGGCTTATATATCGAAAAATTGAGCACTCAACCATGAATATTTTAAATACTAAATTTAGTTCCACATTACTTGATATTTAATATAAACTGACATTGACATTGCAGATATAATATTTCATAGTGCATGTGATCTATAAACTTGTACTGGGAGCCCTAGACATGTACAAATGTTTTTTACATATCTTTAGAAAATTCATATCATGACCCATATTTTGGAATCTGGCTAATATTTAGAAATCCTCAGTTAATTTGATGAAGTTTTTCAAATCTTGATATGATCAACAAGGGAAAACATCAAGAGAAAAGAGGTAACTTGAACATATTTTCTTCTCTTGATGTAACAATATTTCCTGGTGCCTGGAAATACTATTCTACCACTCCTCAGGTGAGAAAGAGTTGCTATTTTACCTTGTTAAAAATTAGTTTAATTTCCCTTTTCTGTATCAAATGCCACCATGAGAGGAATTTATAGTCACATTGTAAACTAGGGCTAATGAAAGCAATCCATTGAGTGGTAGGATTTAAATTTAGATATATTTTGAATATAAATCACAGTTTTACTGAGGTAAAAGAGTTTTTTAAATGGATTCTTAAAATATAAAATGTATACATGCAGTCATTAATATATTTTCTTTAGTATAGGTGTGCCGGTGATATATTTTAAGTATATCTGGAATATTTATTGAAATCATCTGGGTTCTTAGCAGTTATTTAAAAATGTACCACATTAATGACAATTCTAAGAATGTTTTACTGGAATATGGAAAGCAACAGCCCTTGCAATATTGCTCCCTGCATCATCTCATTCCTTCCTTCCAGAGTAATCCGGAGGTAACCTAGAAATCTCCTGAGATTCATCAAGAATCGACACTCGCACACACAAGGCTCAAGATCTGGGGTAGCGTGAAAGACTGGCATTTGGTCATAGTCCCCTGATGGAGGAAAGTATACTGGTGGGTTTTCCTGCATCCAAGCAGGATGCAGGATTTCTGGGCTTCCTGTAGGCATATTTCCATGGGCTTGCATATTATAACAGAGTGAACACTATTATTCACCATTTCTTCATGGCAAGACATTCTTGGCAGTAACCAGGAATAGCTTTTCAAATTATTCAGATATGCTAAGAGATAAATAGCTCAGGTGTTGTTAGAGCATTATTCAAGCAGATATACTTCAGGCAAGGGTATGTCTGCTCATCTTCACCATACTGTAAATGGTTTTCCTCCCCAAGATCTAATGCAGTGGAATCATCTTTCCCAGGTCAGCCTGGGGAAGCTGTGCCTGGGCTTGTTTATTTGGAAGCACAACAGCCTCTATGAAACTTCTACCTCAGGGCTAACCTATAAAAGGAGAGATGAATCTCCCATGCCCACAGGACCCTGGCCCTTAGCTGAGCTGGATTTACGATGAAAATCAGATAAAACCAGAAAGTCTTGTTTCACAGAGCCTGTCTAGAGTGATTTAAAGAAGGAAATGGGGAGGAGAAGACATACTTTAATCCATTTTACGGACCAAATCTCTGGTTCCATGTAGTCTTTTTAGCCCCTCCATGGAGGGCCATTCCAATGAGTGAACTTTTCAAATGGATGCCTTCTGATGGGACCCCTAATACGGATGAAATCCCCCACCCTCGCCCTGTGGACCTTGCATGAGAAGCAACTCCAGATTGCCATGTTCTCTACATACAATTCCCACATGTTCTTCAGTCATCAGTTCCCTGCTGAAAACACACAGAACCAACACCTGCCGGAGAACTTGCCACTATACATTTACACACACCTATCCAAGCTTTCCGCAGGACCACCGATTTCTGTTCCACTCTATTACTTCTTCTCTCACTTTCCTCTCATTTGGCATCTGGATTCCTTTCTAAATGTGTCATTTACCAAGAAGTGAACCCACCACACCTCTTCCTCTTTCTCACCCTCTTCCTCACTGGGCAGTGCTGCCAGTGGAGAGACCAGCCTTTCTGTTACACTGCTGTTTCCACTCCCCGAGCCTGAGATTGGGATTTCTGCAACCTTCAGTGACCATGCTTTCTACATCTACCCTTCTTTCTAGGGCTGAGTATAAGACAAATCTTGGGTAAAAAGCCAGCTTTTGAAAATAAAACATAAATCACAGGAAGAGACAGAGGAGGCTTAATAACCCCAGGAGACATGAGCGGAAGAGGCCCTCTTAGGTCCCCACTTTCTCCTCACAGCTCCACTCATAAATCCAGGACTTGGGAGATGGATGTTATAAGAACACTTGACAATCTGAAGCAGGGCACACTGAAGAGAAGAGGCATGAACCTGTGGCAGGGTCAAGAGGGATGAGTGGTCACGTGGAGTTGAGAACAGAGGAGAGAAGAGAGAGTGAGCCAAGAGGGAACGTTTGCTTATTGCCTGCTAGTCACAATGCTTGGTGGCCCTAAGACCTTAGCCAAGAGGCCCTGGATCCCTTGATGATTTGGGCATGATTCGTATATGGCAGAAAAAAGTATTTCTGATACTTTTGTTATAGGTTAGAAGATGTAATTTAAACCTAAATCATATTATTGTTTTACATATTCATCTGGCCTCCTAGTGAATGTGATGAGGAAAGAGATGTTCAATACGGAACTCCATTACCCTGCCTTCTACAGCGTGTAGTCCCTTCTATAGTGTGGACATATAGTTATATGTCTACATCTGTGCAACACTGTATCAATCACATGCCATCAGTCTCCTCTGGGGCTCATCCAGTGCACGTCATGAAGAAGAAAATTGGATAACTACATTTCCAGCATGTTTTCTTCAGCCTTAATGCATGGCCATGAGAGACCACTACTAACATTTACCGATCCTTTCCTAGCCCTGATCTCCACAAAGCCAGAGCTTTTGGGGACATACATATCTGAGAAATAAATGAAGAGCAACACATTTCCAGAGATTCCTGAACAACGCAAGTTTCTACTTATGTCTTTTATATTCTGATTTCTTCTGACAACTGATATAGTAGAATCTGCACAACCTTGTGAAACAGCCAGTATCATTAGTTACCTACATAATATATTCCATTAATCTGTTTTGCATGGTCTCAGGTCCAGGTATTTTTGGGCAGATTATAGCAGTAACATATTTGTTCCAAAGCTGAGAAACATGTATCTGAAGACCTGTATAGAATTCCCTGGAAGTATTTCATCTGCTAAGGTCATCTGCAGAACACCAGGCTACATTATTTATTCTGAATGGGAAAGGCCCCACCATTAAGGACATCAAATAAATTCGGTTTCCCTATCCCATTTTCTCACTTTCACTTCCATGTTTAATATTGTGGTTTTTTGGCTGGGCAAGGTGGCTCACTCCTGTAATCCCAACACTTTGGGAGGCTGAGGCAGGTGGATCATCTGTGGGTCAGGAGTTCCAGACCAGACTGTCCAACATAGCAAAACCTCGTCTCTACTAAAAATACAAAAATCAGCTGGGCATGGTGGCATGTGCTTGTAGTACCAGCTACTCTGGAGGCTGAGGTAGGAGAATGGCTTGAACCCAGGAGGCAGAGGTTGCAGTGAGCCCTGATTGTGCCACTGCAGTCCAGCCTGGGCAGACTCCGTCTCAAACAAAAACAAAAACTAATAATATTTTTAATGAAAAATAATCTTCTTTACAAATTAATTTTTGCTTTCTGCATTTGGTTGCATAGCTGCATCATTTTTTCCCAATCTGGGATTATTCATCAATATTTTATTCTAGCATTTTTATATTTACATGTTTTCATTAACTCATTAATATGGGTTTCTCTTTTCTTTTTAAAAACTTTTCCATTTTGTGCTATGGTGTAGAATGTATTTCTCTGAGGTAGTGGTCTACCTTGATGTTTAGTCACTTAGCCCAATTCATTATTCTAAAGTCAAACTGATGTAAAATTATATACCAAATTATTTCAAATGCTTGGGTCAATTTCTTGTCTTCTTTTCTTCTTCTATTTATCTGTTTGTTTTTAAACTATTAACAAATGTCTTGTTTACTTTTCTAGCTTCTTTCTTTGTTTTTTGTTTGTTTAGTGGCAGGCTTTCACTCTACCACTGAGGCTGGAATGCAATTATAGTTCACTGCAATCTCAAACTCCTGGTCTCAAGTGATCCTCCTGCCTTGGCCTCCCAAGTAACTGGATTGCAGGCATGAGCCATTACATCTGGCTCCTCTTTCTTTATTTTTCTCAAATATAGAAAAGTCTTTAATTTTCTTTTCTTTTTTTTTCCCAGAAACACCTTGCCTTTCTAAATTCTCTCATAGGCACTGACAGCTCTTTACTTGATATCTTGGATTTTCTAGATAAATAATCTTATTGCTTATATCTAATAATAAATTTGACTATTTTTTTCATAATTATACTCTATATTTCCTTTCTCCTTCCATTCCCCCAGCCTTCTATCCCCGTTTCTCTTTTTCTCTTTCTCTCCCTCTCTCTCTTTTCTAGGTTAAAACTTTCTAAACAATGCTGAAAAAGACTAGGTAATGGTGCAGTCTCATTTATATCACATTCTTCATGACTCTAATGGAAATAGTGGAGTTCGATTTTGCTTTTGTTTTTCAATTAAACATAAATAGTTGCTATTGGATTGACTTACTAATATACTATTTGGGCCAAAGCAGGTTAGGATGATAGCCTGTGAACAATCCTCCATGCACTTTCATAAGATGGGTGTAAGGTAAGATTGAGAACTCCCTTTGCCCTTCTTCACCCATCATCTACCCTTCATTAGGCTAGGCTTGCCTGTATACCTTGCCAAGTAGAACTTCACAATGTTTCCAGATCTTTCTGAAAACTGTCCATTGGCTTTCCAGGTGGGTTAGTAAATATCTGGGTGGTTTGCCATTCATTCATTAAGTTTAATCTCATCAGTATCATGTCTTCCAGAAATTGTTTGAAGTCACTCTTCTCTGATTTCCCTTAACTTTTTGGTAGGTCTTTTGAATTTCGATGAGAACTAAGTAAAAAAAAATCAGCTCAGCCAACCAATTTGAAACAGTTCCTTTAAAAATAAAAATTGTCATTTTTAATTTGCAAATGTTAAAACATAAATCCTCTCTTAAGTAATAATGACAGATGGAAACGCTATATTGAAACTCAGCTCCTATCATATATATGCAATGGTAATGCACTTAAAAATGTTCTTCTGCATTGGATTAAGTGTTTTCAAAATGAAAATATGAATATGAATAAACTGTCATTTTCCAAAAGAACTGAAAACTAGCACATATACTGAAAAAGTGCTTCTTATTTCAATTATTCTATGAATTATTTTCCTTTTTTATGTTGACAAAGAACCTTCCTAAGAAACATTGTTGAATTTTGTATCAACACTGAATACTAATTAGGAAGAAAAAAAGCACCCTTATTATTCTCTCTGAATAACAAGTATTTTTCCAGTTGGATCACTGTACATTTGCGTATGTTAATTACTTATTTTTCAAAAGATTTACCACTCTAATGTATGTTTTGCAGTAGTAGATCTCTTTGTGTCCTCTACAGTGAAATGTCGTCATTGTTTGAATCACATTTTTGGCAGCATGGTGTTCTGTTACATTCTGGGGGAATCATAGGAGCCTGAGAGATGGGGGAGACAAATCTCATCTATAAAGCTTATTCATGAATTCTTGTTTTGGTGCGGGAAATTTGCCCCTGTGTATAACAAGGGCATTTAAAAAATTCTGTAATGCTTGTTCAAACTAAATTAATTTCTTACAGCAAAGCTCTAAGAAGATCTTTTCTCAGCTGTTAGTATGTTTTAGACTAAGTTCAAAATTCAAAATGAATTTGAATGCTGCCTCCAATCTATACCACTGCACCTCGTTTTTGTTCTTTTTCTTCCTTTCCCAGACACCTTATAGTCTCATTTTACTTCTTCAGTGGACAACAATTAGCATTTTGGTCCCTAACCCAGATCTGTTCCGTCCGCACCTCATGCTTGGACACTTTCCTATTTTCATCATTTCACTAACTAGTCCTCTGACCTCCCTGACCCAGTTCCCTGAATTCCAAGGTAAAAGCTGGCTGATCTGTCAGACCAATTCTAAATCTGCCCATAGCCTTTTTCTCTATGCTATGCTCTCATATCAACTCATTATTACGATTCTGTGTTAAAGGTGTGATAGTTTGAAGGGTTACCATTATTTTTCAGAAACTGAATACTTAGTTTAACATGACTCTTCCCTGAACAGCCTGGTCGATTACCCTGATTCCCCTACTTTCAATCATACTGAAGATGTTATATAGCTAACATGTTATTAAACATACATATACACACACACACACACACACACACACACACATATAGAGATAGATTTTTTTTTTTTTTTTGACATGAAGTTTCACTCTGTCACCAAGCTGGAGTACAGTGTTGCAGTCTCGGTTCACTGCAACCTCTGCCTCCTGGGTTCAAGCGATTCCCCTGTCTCAGCCTCCTGTGTAGCCGGGACTACAGGCGCCCACCACCACTCCTGGCTAAATTTTTTGTATTTTAATAGAGATGGGGTTTCATCATATTGACCAGGATGGTCTTATCTCCTGACCTCGTGATCTGCCAGCCTCAGCCTCCCAAAGTGCTGGGATTATAGGAGTGAGCCACTGCACCCGGCCTAAACATATTTTTAAGGTCTGCAAATGCCCTTCTTCTGCAGCTGTCAAACTGAAGAAAGTTATCTTAGAATTCTGCAAAGTCTCGGAACATGTAGTCTTCAATGACACACACTGTGGATGCTAAGATTTACAAACTCAGTAACTTCTCGGGCTGACTGAAATATTTTTCAAGAAGGCAGCTGTGCACCTCCTGCTGGTGGGTTGGTTGCCTCACTGGTGCAGCCGCTCTGCTAGTGGAAAGGCCCACATGTTCCTTAGAACTCTTTCTTTTTCTATATAGCCAGAACAATCCTCTGCTCACCCTCCTAACTGGTACACCGATATACACTGGGGCTGGCTTTGCTGTGTTGCCCAGCCTGGACTTAAACTCCTGGACTGAAATGATCCTCCCGTCTTAGGCTCCCAAGTACCTGGGACTATAGGCATGTGCTCCCAGCACTTGGCTGATGCAGTCTTTTACACACCGGGCACTACCCTTGCAAATAAAAGTGCCAAATAAAATAACTGTACCATCTACCTTCTAGGTCTGGTTCTATTCTTGATCCATATGTGATTCTAGGCAAATCATTGCCTCTAGGCTGGACCTCAGTATTCAAGGAAATAAAATGAGTGTTTTGGATTATATATTTAATGAACTTTCCTGTTCTAAAATTTAAAACCCTCACTCATCTCAAGGTTAACTTTCTGTTTGTTTATGACTTGCTGTCCTGTCCCATTGGCTGTTGAGAGAAGAAACGAGGCAAGTGGGATACCGGAAACTCAAAGTTGCTAGGAAATTAAGTCCTGGCCCAAATGTGCGTTTTATTTTTCTCCATGTAACTTATCCCCACCTAGTGGCTAGAAGTTAAAATAGCAACTCATACTTTGGAGAGAAAAGGGATTTTATTGACCACATCCAAATAACGTTTTCTTAGGGGAAGTGATACACGGTGTATATATGTAGGCCATGTTTTTAAACAACAGGTTCAAGATGATGGCTGAAAATCCTCCTGTATCCACTATGCATGATAATTACAAGGGCTGGAGTTACCAGAAAGGCAGAAAATAATTTTTAAAAGGTTGTTTCTAGAAGCTGCTTTGAAGAACCTTTATGCCACACATAACAAGAAATTTTTTGTGTGCCTTGGTTTTTTACAGTTATTTTGAGTAATGAAATTTGAAGACAACCAATCCCTGACAAATCAGAGACAACATCAGAGAATAAGAGTCATTTGTTTAAAGTTGACACACACGCAGGGCAAAGTTTATTTATCCATTTTTAAATCCTGGAAAGTGTATGCAAAAAGGAACTATACTTCCTGGTTGTCTGGAACACACCCCATCTGAACAGTTGAGTGGAGTTTCTGGGTTTTTTTTTTTTGCCACTTCTTCTCATTTGTGCGCCTGTGGGCCACCGAACTAGTAGGCTAGTTATAGAACCTGTGGGGCTTTCAGGAACCTAGATGAAATTTTTGAAAAAGGAAGTAGCATAAAATAAGGTCCCAGGAAACAGATGTTTTACTCAGAATTCTGAAGCAAAAACACCTCGTTATAATAGTTGTGCTTAGGCTTTTTGTTATGGACGAGGATAAAAAAGTGGAGTAAGAATCTTTGCTATTACTCAAAGAGTCTTCTTGTTTGAGTTCTTCTAATATTGTTAGGCCACTTTTGTTAGACCAGTTGTATTCAGAAGCCAACAGCTAAAATTTAGGCCAGGATTTGTGGGATCATTTATATTCCATACAACTCATCAATTTGAGGACAGAGTTACAATAATTTTTACTTAAACTATTACACAAAAGACTCTTTATAAATTAATGTTAAGACTTAGAATTCACTCGTTTACTTTGTCTCGGGTAAGCTTGCTGAAGTTTGTGCATTTTATTGATCTCAGAGAATCAACTTTTGTTATTGTTGATTTTCTATG